TCCCTCTCTCCTCTGTTCAGTTTTCCTTCCTACCATCTTTTGTAATTACCCACTATCCAGCTACTATATACATTTTTCCCCTTAATCAAATGTCCTTAACCATTTCAAAATTTCAGCTTGCTGTCCCCTCTAAAATTACAAAATGAAATGCAACACCAAAGATCCTTGGGTCTAAAATCCTAAACCAGATTTAATTACTCTTAACACCACACCCATCCAGTATGTCAGTGAACCAACCTCCCTCAGTTCACAATCTAAAAATACACAAGATGTTCCAAATGTTCTTAAGTGATACTATGTGCAGTGAATAGGGCACATTGCTAATTGATACAGTTTTATTGGGATTTGCCAAAAGACAAGCAATTTTGGTTATACCACAGCTGTACTGGAACACCAACTGAAAAATAAACAGTACTCTTGTCATACACTTCAGGCAACATTGAAACGCCTAACACATACCTAGCAGGCATTATCCAAAATATACACACACACACACACACACACACACACACATATATATATTGTACAGACTAATATAAAATGAAGCATAACTCAAAAAATAACCATCCACAACTTTGGGCAGATTAAATCCAGTCATCTTATTTTATTTTGATCATATTCACACTGATTGTGCAATACTTAGGCTTCTCCTAAAGTGTCAGCTGCAACAACAAAAGCACAACAAAGCATAACCCACAACTATAATTGGAAACTTGTTTGCCATTTTTTAACACACTGCTCAAAGGAGCACTTTGATTTATAACAGAAATAACCTGTTCAAGTTTAATTCTTGAATCAAATTTCTTGGATTAGCTTAACAGTGATTATACTTCCACAGTATTCCGACTGTGTTCCCTGGAATCCCAAGGTTCCATAAGAATCATTCAGGGCTTTACACCCATGATTACAGTGAAATAGCAAGATCTGCATTCCTTTGTTTTGTTTAAAAGGGAAAGGTCTGTGACAAGGTAAAGTCTGCGTTCACTATAATTCAGAGCCTTCACACACATACTTTCAAAAGCAGATTAATTCATTGTAAAGCCAAAGTGGATTCAGGTTGGGAGGAATAATGATCACACAGGCTTAATACAGGAATAAAATGAATGCAGAGCCAGAAATGTACTTGCAAGTGTCACCGTTAACACCCAATTGTGATTTTCTTTATGGCAGAAAACAAGCACATCCATGTCATTAAAATGAGCAATTTTTCATATTACGTTAGTACTGTTATACAAAGTTTTAGTATGTAGTCAATAAATTTAGCATTAGCTATTAAATAATAAATAAGTTCATTAATGGACTTTATATATAGTTTCATTTACATTGTATGAAATTTATTATTGAAAAATTTGTTTGAATCAAATGTATTACATGAAATGTATTTATGAATGGGTTCCACACTGAATGGGTTCCTTGGATATCTCACTGCTATACCTGAATGCTAAAAGAGAGTCTGACTTCATTCAAAACGGTTATCTGACATAATTTCTGCATGAAATTTAATACAGCTAGCAACACCATATATTGAAACATTTTTGTTCTGTACAGCAGCAGCTTTCTAAATAAAATAGCAATTTACCTCCCCCCCGCCCAACAAAAAGCAAAGACAGTACTCTTGAAAGTAGAATCTTACTGAAAGTCAGACTTCATTTAAAGATTACAGTATATATTCCTAAATATACAACTAGCAATGCTGCAACAACTTTTAGCCTGAAATAGTCTCCAACACCATTAAGCCATTGATGACTGCTATTGCAACTCAGAGACAGCATTGCCTAAGAGATCTCTGTCCATTATATTTGAACAGTCATATTATGCATGCAGTGCTATACATTTAACAACCAATTCATAGTTGTACTTAAATACAGAAAGGTTAAAACATATAAAGCTGCATTGTGCGGAGACAAGCCATTGGCCTATCTAACCCAGCACTGCCCATTTTTGCTTCTATTTCTCCAAGTGGCTTTTCCAAACCCTGCTGCTCAATATCCCTTTGACTTCTAGTAGCTGAGCATAGAGCTCTAAATGTGCAAAGCAGCAGCATAATCTCTCCTAAACTTAGGTTCCTTCCCAAAATAAACAGACATCATACAAACACCTTTAATTATATCTTCTTTTATTATTTAAATCAGGAATTTCTTCAAGTCTGAAAATACTTCAAATCTTATGGTTTGTAACACTGTCAGAAGACTTGTAAAGCTAGCTATTCTGTCTTATCTTCCTTCATGGATGGGGGTAGTCAAAAGAAGCAGTGGGGAATACTGGAAGATTTCAAATAGAAGATGATGTCATCTAGAGCCTTCTTCCCTGTAAAATTCTGTAAATGAAACAGCACAAGCACTTGACAACAACCTCCTGTTATTCAAGTAATTGTTCAGTTCTGACTTTCAGGCTACAATCACATACATATATATATATATATATATATATATATGTATATTAAAATTTTTAAACTAAGACTAAAAAAAAAAAAAACCAAAACATCAAACATCACAAACATTAACATTGGATTCACTGGGTCAACCTCCTACTACATATTTTTTAACATTCTAATATCAAATTCCAATTAATTTATCATAGTTTGAAAAACATCTCTACATTTACGCCAAGTCCCGTTTCTCCAGCCAATTATAAAAAGAGTCCCAAGTTTGATAGAAATCAGTATCCTCTTTCTCCTTCAATGATAAAGTCAGTCTATCCATTTCTGCACAGTCCAATATCTTTCTTATAATCAATCCATCGGTGGGCAGCTCCTCACTTTTCCAATATTGAGCAAATGCAATCCTTGCTGCTGTAATTAGATGCAACATCAAATAGATTTCCTGTCTGTTAACATCTTGCGGTATAATGCCTAACAAGAAAACTTCGGGTTTAAAAGCAAAGTGTTTTTGTAATATATCCTCCATCCATCTATATATTTTAATCCAGTACTTTTTTGCGTTGTCACAAGTCCACCACATATGATAAAAAGTACCCACTTTATGTTTACATTTCCAACATCTATTTGACATATTTGGAAACATCTTAGCTAGTTGACTTGGTGACAAATACCATCTATAGAACATTTTATATAAGTTTTCTTTATACAAAGTTGC